AATTGTGAGCCGGGCTACCTGTATTAGAGAGAAGAGGATGCTCTCAGATGCAGCTCTTCTAGTCCTGCTGATAAAGCTTGGACAGATTCTCCAAGATGCACACTTGTCCATGTCTCCAAAAGCATTCTACAATGACTTATTATTCACTCTACATTTACTGCCAAGTAAACAGGCTGATTCATAATGCAACCAGAGCAATGCATAACTACAGTGCAACTCTTTTGAACCACAGCAGTGCAGCGTCTGGCATCATTTCCCAACCAGTTGTAATTGTCCTCCAGATGCTGATCATGTGGCTAGACATTCTGGGGATTGTAATCTCATTTTAATGGAAGGATAGCACATTGTGGAAGGCTGTGCTAGAATAACATTAGCAGTCTTATATCAGGCAAGGAAACCCACTGGAATAGCTTTGCCCCACATTACTATGGGTTCTTCTTGGCAGCACAAGCAGAGTTATGGTGTAGTTGAAAACTATTAATGTAATAAATAAATAATGTAATGTAATAAGATTCAACCACAAATTAAAAACCCAAATTCCACCCCAAACAATATATGAATGTATTTACTGTTGGCAAAATTGATAATCCCTTTGGTCTGATTTTTTTGCCCATATTAGATTTTTTTCTTCTGGCAAGTAATGATATTGGTAGGAGTAACAGGAACTGGTAATAATGAGAATTACAACTGTAGAGGAAAAGAAGTACAACTGGAAGAAAAGATAACTATGCTCAGAAACTCAGCAATTGCATGTGGTTACAGAAGGCTTAATGGGAATAATTTTCCATTGCACAAGAACTTCCCTATTCAACAGAGAGCCCAATTTGTGTTATGTGTGCTATTCCCAAATTGATAGATTGGGAAAATTGCCTATAAACATATATCTAGTATGTTATGTGGTTTGGAAACTTAGAAAGAGCAAGATGAATGTTCTGTGGAATTTGGAATCCTACCTGATGATTCTGTGCAAAATTCTATGCACAGAATGGCAATGATAAATAGCTCTGATTACATGCCTAATTAAACATACTGAGATTAAGTTTAAATAAATTGCTAATTTTACAGCTTTGGTTATATTATTTCTCATTCTAGCTCTAAAAAATAAGAAGTTCTTTTTAAAAAAAAGAGTATACAAATTCCTATAATCTCAGGATATGAGCTACACAAGCCCAAGAAGAAAAAAAAAAGTCCACTGGTCAGAGCTTAAAACTATGTTTATAATTTCCTATTTATTGGCATTAATGTATTTCTAAACTTAAAAACCCTTCTGGTAAATTATCAATTTTTATGACAAAATTTTGCACAACACACAAATATTTACAACATGTACATTTTCTTTTTCAGTCTTTTACACCGGATCTCAAAAGACAAACATTTTATAGATTACCACAGAACAAAAGCTGTGACTTAGGCTTTTCTTTTAAATTTCATAAAACTATCATAAGTTAAAGTGAATAGGTTTCTTTAAATTCCTTGTAGCATTTTTTTTACAAGTGCAACAGAAAACTATGAGGATCCAATTAGAATGGCTGCAATTAATTGGATAAATGTTGCCTGTTGTAATCACATTGTTTCACAGCAAGTTCTTGAAAAAATAAGCACCAATCATTCTTGCAAAGAACAATTTTATCTAAAAGTATTGAAAAAGTGTTAAATACAAGGTGTTTTAATTTACATAACAAGAAATAAATACACCATCCAAACTTGTATTCTGCATACTGCTACTCTTGTACATATAATGTACTAAAAGTCAGCAACCTGTCAACACCTTTTTTTAAGAAATCAATTTGACTTCAAACCAACGGTTTGCTACTATAACAAAGGCCACAAACAGTACGTCTGGGGACAGCATACAGTGTTAAAACTGACAAACTTCAAGGGGGGAAACATCTAGCAAATAAACTGAAAAGCTGTATTTCATTGCTGGTGATATTAACATACTAGAAAACCTTAATAGGCTGCTACTATGATTTCTTTTAGATTATTTAGTCAGATGTAAGAGCAAAATAATGCTCTCACCGATTAAAAATTGTTTAGCCACATTATTGTGATTTAATTATCCTTCATGGAAAAATCTGATGGCATTTTTGTAATTATGCTTGAGCCTTTATTTTACAATAGAGCATTTTTCTCTAACTCAGAATTGCACATAAGAAGGCTATTAAAAAGTACAATAAAAATCTGCACAACTTGACTTAAGGAGTCAGTATGCTGTACACTTTCTACAATATTATGTTGATATAAGTGAACAAACAATAAAGAAGTGCTTCCACTAACATTTTGAGAAAGTTCATCAGTTGAAGAATAATTGTCTGGAATTTTGTTTTAAAAAATGGACATATTCAGTTTAAGACCTGTAAGCTTATGCATTGAGCCTTAAAGACTGATCTTCTCTCCTCCTGGAAGAAATGTCAATGTCTATTGAATCCTTGCCAACTATAAGCCTTAAACGCTTAGCTGGAGGCAGAGGAATAAAATCATCCTCAAAATCGTCCTCATATTCCTCTTCCTCCTCTTCGGCAGATGAAGAATCATCAATAGTTTCTTCTTCATATTGACTATAATCATCCACTTCCATCCGTGACTCTAGCAGTGAAAGCGGATCACTACAACACACTCCATTCTCATGAAGATCATCAGAGTACGTTCCCCTATTTTCTTCTTCCCGTTTTAGCTGTATTTTTAATTTTGTTGAACTACTACTTGATCCTGAGTTAAACCCATTATTAAGCTTTGCTACATATAAATTATTATCTTTCTCATGGTCTTTACTTAGTTTTATGCTTATTTTTGAAGAATTCATTCCATCATTTTCTTGGTCATTAGTCTTGCTGTTGCTATCATGCCGCCTTCGCAGAGTAAGTTTGGGAATCCCAGAGCTGTTTTCAAGAATAAGTTGTGCATCATACCTTGTGATTCGCCTTTTCTTTTTACTTTTTGCAGTTCTAAAGCGCTCTTTGACTTTGAAAGTGTCAGAAGTTACAATGGAACAGCCACCCGATGCAGGAATACAGTCTTTATACCCGATGGCTGAATCCATTACACTGTTCACTTCTCCTAGCTCAGAATGTGAACTGATCAAATCTGGCAATTTGTCTTTGCCAGTCAACGTATGTGCAAGATCCATTTCCTCCATTTTTGCAGACGGCTTCACCAGTCTCCCTTGTCGAGATTTCTTTTTGGCCACAACTCTTTCACTCTTCTGACACCTCCCCTCCCCCTTCTGTGATGCCATAAGAGCTTGCTCACTCTCAAGAATCACATGAGACTGCTGTTCCAAGCTATTGGCTCGCATGCCCGTCAAACTGTTTTTATAGCTGTTCAGCATATTTGGTTCAAGCTTTAAGTCAGAGGTCTCTTTCAGATTCATTCGTGTTCTCATTGACCTCCGTGTTATGTATGTACAGGGTGATATTTCCCCAGGTTCATGAGCACCTTTCACTGAATTTAATTTATATTCTCGTGCTGCATGCCTTGTTAAGCAGCCACTAGATACTGCAACTTTCACTGGTCCCTCTGTTTCTTTTTCCTTCTTAATGGGCAAGTTTTTATACAGAACTATTTTGGGTTCTTTAAGAACCAAGTTTCCCATTTCGAGTTTCCTAGATGCATTTTTTTGTTCTGGCCTTTTGCACTGATTTCGCAACTTTATCTTTGAAAGTAAAGGCTTTGCAGGCTTTTTCAGTCTCTTTGGTACCCTGGAATTATTTAAATGAGTTAGTCTGGATGAGGTAGAATTTGATGAAGTTGGAATTCTTGAAATAGACTGCCTGGTTAATGTTCTACTCTTGCTGTTCTTTTTTACACCAATTGAAGATTTGCGGGTAGCTGTAGGATTAAACAAAATAAATATTAAAGAAGTTTCTTCCTTCAAATTGTTACCAACAGTAGTATCATTTCATAAGTACAGAAGTAACATTTTTGCTTATTGTAGGGATACACCCTGCATTTAAAAAAAAAAAATCTGCTTTATTATAGGGACACACCCTGCATAAAAAAATAAAGGCTGCCATTAAAATAACTGAATAACGGGTTTAAAGTCTCTAATAAATTTATCAAGGGACAACTTCTGTATTCTTTACTCACTATTCTAAATGACTTTTCTAATTTAGGCACTTAAAGTGATGCACTGTATATAGATACCCACTACTGACTGTACCAGCACTGCACCAATATATGAAGTTAACTAACCTCACCTTTACTAGGGCAATTTTCCAGAAATATGTGGCCTTCAAACTCCCATTTTACACAATGAAATCAGAATTATTCCTATTGGATTTTATGGATGTGGAATTAAAAAAGAAATATGAGAAATAAATATTGTATATGGTAACTGTGGCAAGATTATTGTATGCAAAAAGATGGAAAAGTAATGAAATACCTACAGCAGAAGATTGGATTATAAAATTAACTGAACTTGCAGAAATGGTAAAGCTGACCAATCTGGTCAGGAAAAAAAACAACAAAGATTTTTTTGGAGGCCTGGAAACCTTATATGGACTTTTTGTTGAAAGAAGAAAAAAACTAAATTGATGATTTCTGGATTTGGGGATTAAAAAGGGACAAGGAGGATGGGGAAAAGACTAAGATGACAATTACTTGATAGAAAGAAGGGTGGAAGGCATTATTGTATGTTTTTTTTTCATTCCTTTCCTTTTTCTCTTACTTTTTTTGTATACTTTTATTGTATTGAAAAATTCGAATATAATATAAATATTATGGGAGTATAAAGTGAATGAGAAACCATTTATTTATCACTATCACATTTTGGTTTAAAATCCATATTATTCATATAATGTTACAAGGATAATACTGTTTAAAAATATGAATATACATGGAATTATATATCAAAAATTTGGAATTTACCACTAAATGAAGAATCATAGATTTATCAAGCACAGGAAGCAGCAAAACTGTTACTCTTTAATGTTGAAAAGAGAATGTGACTCCAGAGTTACAAGGTGGGATTAATGAAATGGTTCACTTTCTGTTTATAAACTTGCTCTCTATCAATGTAATAGAAAGATTGATCAATATCATCCCAATTTGAATGATATTTAGTAATATGTTTAAAATTGGAATGAATAAATTTCTCAATGTGGCAGCAAATGAGAAGTATGACTGGACATAGACAGAGGCTCAAATTCAACCCTGTTCTGGGGTGATCAGGTCAGCAAAGCACAGTTACTTTTGTCTTAGTGAGCCCGCAGAATGTCAGCCAGCTGCACTATTTAGAGTGTCTCAAACCCTACAGAACAAACTAGTATGAATTAGGATTGTCTGGCAGAGCATCTCATGGATAAAATTGCTTGCATTCACTCTGAGTTGGAAGCCTGAGAGAAGGAATCTACTGAGATGACAGAGGTAATGCCCTGAGATATTATGCGAGAGGTTTTAAGTCTGCAGATCTTGAGGAGGTGGACTGAATTCTCTTAGTTCTGTTACTTGTGTGTCAGTCCTTCAAGGTAGACCAGATCAGGAAACACATTCCATAGGAAGACCACAACTATACTTTATTGAGATAGACTATAATAACAGAATCTTGCAAGTTTGATTGTGCTTCTTCTCTCCACCCTCTTATACCCAGTGAATCAGAGAGGAGTCATCCTGAGTTTCTTTCTAATACTATCTCCCTTTGCAAGACTTAATGAATGCTTCTGTCCTCTTTATTTACATAACGATTTCTGAATATCTCCTTCAAGGCCATCTACCTGTCTCTCTACATGTGCAAGGGACTCTTGTCCCACATGGCTGTTAAAATAGCCAGGGAACAGATTGGGAATTGGATCCAGGTAGCGTCAATGCTTTCTTGAAAGAAGGGGAGAATCCTAAAGCTTTGAAAGGGGCCCTGGTCTGCCCATTCCTTAAGAAGTCCAACCTGGATTCAATGGAACTGGATAACTAACATCCAATCTATAGCCTCCCTTTCTGAGTTTTAAGGTGCTTCCACATCTTCCATCAGTGATCGTAAGAGGGGAAAAGGTGGTCTACACACACTCCATTATGGAATGCCCCAGGGCTCAGTCCTTCCCCTTGGCTATTTAATTTCTATATGAAACTACTGAAGGAGTTTATTTGTCAATTCAGAGTGAAGTTTGCTCAATATGCTGACGGCTTAGCTGTACAGCTCTGATCTGGACACAATGGGAGATGCAGTGGAAGTTCTGACATTGTACAAAGTCTGGGTAGGGAAAAAGAACAGAGATTGAACACAAGCAAAATGAATAGCTGTTAATTTAAAAACCTGAGTCCAGGATTGAACCAAACCTTATTTTGATGGAGTTGTGCTCACAACCTCAAGGACAGTCACTCATTCCTTGTTGTATTATGATTAGATTATTGTAATTTGCTGTGAATGGGCAACCCCTGATCACCTGTAAACTTCAGTTGGTCCAGAATTCAGTGTTTGCTGGGCAGCCATGATCCTACCACATTACACCTTTCCTACAGGGGCTGCACTGGTCACCATATGTTTCCAAGTGCAATTTAAAGTGCTGGTCACCTTGTCTTAGATACTTGGGTATCTAAGAGATTGCATTTCCCAGATAGTTTCTGCTTGCCCAACCCAGATAGCCAGGGAGCACCTGCTGAGGGTTCCCATGTACCAAGTGAGCTATTCTCTGAGGAAGCTCACCTCCTACATAACAATTTACTCCTGAGGAAAGGATAGCTTCTACTCTTATGGTTTTCTGAAAGCTGATAAAAACCTGGCTCTTCCAGAAAGCCTTCAAGAATTAATTGTAGAGCCATTGATGCCTAGATCAGTCACTATATTAATGGAATCTGCAATTTATTATTGTTGATTTTAATAATGCATTATTATCTATTATTGTTGCTTTCACTATTTTTTAGTGTCTGATACACTAAAATACTGGATTGATACAGAGGTAAATAACATAAATAATAAATGTTTTTATTCTTTCCTTTTTTCTCCTGTTCGCTTTTGTGATTTTTGTTCCTTTTGTTTTCTTTATACAAAGATAATAAACAAATAGAAAAAAGATAATAAAAAACTAAAACGACTAGTTATTTCATTAGATTCTAAGCTATTGATTAAATCCCAGAATTCACTATCCCAAGTATTCTTTGCCACCATAGAGACTACACTGTTTATTTTTTCTTTAGAAAATCTGTGAAGAATCTACCTCAATCTTGAATGAAAAAAGGTCAAATGAACAGGGCAACTTCTTTTAAGATAGCCTGTTAAGAATGCTTACATAAAACACATTTCAGTATGTTCTTGCCACTTGCTTACTTGCATTAGCTTTTTCCTGAGTGGTATCTGCATCAGTGTTAGAGCTGACAGATTGACTGTCAGAATTTTTACCGCTATCACCCAATTTCTTAAGCCTGTTTAAACGTTTATCTGTTTCTCTGAGTCCATATTTGCTATTGATCACAGGAGTAGGTGCAGGCAGTCCCACTCTTGATTTAAAAGCACCAGTTCCACGTCTAAAAAAAAAAAGAATAACACATATTAATTACACCTCACACAGCAATAATAAAAGGAAAGCTAATTAAATAGTATGAATTCTGTATTAGTATTTTAAAGAAAATAATCTTTCATATTGTCAAAATTCTGCTATTACAATTTTAGGGAAGTTAATTTAAAAAACAAAGGAATAAGCACATGTGATACTCCTTTAAAATTTCTTTCTTAAAAATCCATGTATCAAGTGAGATGTGCTTCATCAATTTAATAGATTATATTTCACTAATAATTACTTAATATAAAATGAGAACCTATAATTTTCCCTAAATCTGATGACATTACAATATTAATTAGAAGAACTAAATACTGACTGGTTATTTCCTCAGGATGCTGTATACATAGGACATGGCCTGAAGACACATTATGTCTTTTATTGAACACATACCTGATCCAAAGGCACAGGATAAAGTAATTTTGCTGAAGCTGAGCAGCTATGAATCAGGCCATCACCTAGATAACTGCCTGGCAACTTTATGGTCAAGATATAAATGCAAGTAATCAATTAAATTAATAAGATGTATGTTTGAAATTAATAGTATCTTTAAATGGTTACATCCTTCCTTAAATGTCAAAAACCATTTATTCACACAGAGAAAGAATCATTTGTGCTAGTTACATTTTGGTAAACCAATCTAATCTAAAAATATCCTCATATCTGCATGCCAGAAACAACTAAATGCAAGACTGAACAAAATGAAAAAAAATTAAAGCATCTTTTTTTTTACACTTTCCACTTTTAAGTATGCTCAAGTAAGAAAAGGTAGAGATGTGCAAAACATTCTGTGCACAAACTGTTACATGCAGGTAACCAGCTGGCTTTGGGTGGTTCATACCTGCACCAAAACATGCACCCTTTGGATATAAAAAAATCAAGAGCCTAGTAGCACTTTTTTAAACTAAAAAACTGTATTAAAAGACATGAGTTTTTGTGAGTTATAGCTCATCATCAAATGCATAAAGTGGTTAGACTAATGTTGGATTTAAACTGCGATGGGGGGGAAGAGAGGGGAAGACAGGATGGTTATGTAGATGCAAATTATATGTGAGACAGATTGCAAGCACCTTATCAATTAACCACTGTCATGAGTTAAAAACCCATTGTGTTTCTTGAGACCTTTCAAGATTGCCTGAAACCTTTTGATGTTAGTTAAGCAATCTCTTGCTCAAAGGTGCTATTAAAGCCTTTTTTTCCCAGCATGTCACACATTACAGATAATCCTTGCTTAACGACTGCCCTGTTTAGCAACCATTTGAAGTTACAAGGGTGCTGAAGAAGTAACTTTACAACTGGTACTTGCACTTATGACCACTGCAGAGTCCCTGCAGTCATGTGATCAAGATTCGGGCACTTTGCAATAGGCGGGCATTTATGACTGTTGCAGCGTCCCATGGTCATATGTGTACTTCACAGCCGGCTTCTGACAAGCAGAATCAATGGAGAAGCCACCAGTAAAATTGCAAGTCGTGGTCATGTGATGTCTCACTTAATGTTTGCATCGCTTAGCAACGGAGATGCCAGTCCCAATTGTGGTCGTTAAGCAAGGACAATCTGTACTCCTACAACGTCTACTTCTGGATATCATGGTCTATGGATGAATGGATATTGTGGCCCCTGTATGAATGACACAGATGGTCTAATGGTCTAGGCACAGACCAAATTATAGGTGTTCTGCAAAGAAGTGGTTTGCTGGTGGGGAGCGGAAAGAGTGAGGAAAAGCCAAGCACATCACTGGTCCTGGCTAAGAGAAGGCAGGTGTGGGAAGAAAAGGAGATAAGGCACTGGCAAGATCGGGGAACACATGGGTCAGTGGAATATGCCACGTTGGGAACTCATTTCTGAGTTCTGGGACCACTTCAGCATGGAGCAGATACACTGGCCACTACACCAGTGTCAGCTGAGGGGATGGAGGGGAAAGCAGTGGGAGGATTAGAGGGACAGGCAGGCCAGTGAGATAAGCTATACTGGGACACTAGCAATGACTGAGCAGGGAGCACAAGAGGGAAGACACTGGAAAGACTGAGACTGGTGAGATATGCTGCAGTCAATATCAATAGCAACAGCTATGTCCCCCACAAGTCTTCCATCACCCTGTATCTCCATGCTTGTCTCTCCTCCACTGGACTTACATTGGAAGCTAAAGTGAAAATGTTTTCTTCAATGAGGATGGATTATTCAACCTGATGCACCAGAAGCGTCTTATGACAGCATCCAAACAGAAACCCTACTGTCCACTCCACTACTATCCATTCATTTCTTAACCAGAGATTGCCAGTTTTTCAAACGTAAAGAGTACCATTTCATGTTCAGGGACTCTCGACGAATGCTGGTACTGCACAGATACAGCCTTGCAGACAGAGAAATGGCTTCCATTTATCAATTTGTAGGGTGCATACTCTGACTTCTCTATAGCACGATACCATCTCTCTTTACTGTATAGTAGATAGATCCATCTACCAATTTAGTTCTTACTATTTGGCTCCTCCACAGCCTCAGGAGTTTTTTTTTAAATCTGTTGTTACATTCCTCCTTTAAAGGATCACTTTGTTCCCTTATCTACACAACCAGCTTCTGCTTGCATATTCTTATGCTGAACTATCTTACCACACAGCTCAAGTCCTTTGCTCCTATAATGCCTATGTTTCAGGTGCCTGCACACAGTATCTCTTAACAAGAGATAGAACCTGTGTCATTCTACAACAGTTTGGACATATAATGGCTATAATCTCCATTGTTTGCTTCATCTGTTTTCGGATACAAGTGTGGTACTTCCACTTGTGTGAGAAATATTTCCCAGACTGATAGAGCTACTGTCAGTTACAAAACTATGAGTCAATGCAGTTTATCTCACCTTCACAGAATAACCAAGCTTCTATTTCATTTTCTAGCCACCTCTATCAGAAAAGCACTAGAAAGTGGGAAAAGATTTTGCTGCCAGAATACAGTATATAAAGAGGTTTTATCTCAAAGCATAGTACTCACTGGAATTTTTGTGCTGTACCCAGACTTTTCTTTCTACTCAGTATCAATAATCAGAGTCTTTAGGTTTGTGTCTTGTATTAACAGTTTGCTATCAAATGGGATAAGGAAAATCCTCAAAATAAGGTAGTTCCTCCTTCCAGTTTGACCCTGCATCAAGGTATTGATTCCACCATCAATTTATCCATGTCCAGATGAGCGGCTAACCCCTAAGCCCATCCACAAAGCACTGAGACACACACTCAGCAACATATCTTTCTTCTTGGAACAGACCCATTTCACATTTCTCAGTTGATTCTTCTACTGATGTGATACTTGGAAAAGGTGAGTAGGGATTTAACCAACTGCAACCTCACTGCACCTTTGTGACCTAGGCAGCCATGTTTCATCCCGTTGCTCCACTTTCCTGCAGTTTACCTGAATTCTTCAGCCATCCTTCTTTATCCATCAGAACAATGGCCAATATTTCATCCAGACCATGATTCTTCCCTCAGCTCTATAGTTTGGAGGATTCAGTTCCATAACCCAAGTTTTGTGTGAACTGCCCAGAGTTCCCCATTGGGGGGAGAAATGTAATAAATAAATAAATAAATAATATAAACCTCCCTGGATTAGATTATGTATCTAATATAAAAGAAGCCTTTCACAAGGGCTATCAATGCAGCTAAATGGAAATCCTTTGAGGAATTGGTTCAAAAATAGCAGTTTAATCCCCTGCTATGTCAGATCCCTCATGATTTTGCCTTCCTCTTGCAACTGAAACACCAAGGTTTGATTCACTTTTCAAAAAAGTGTAACTTGTAGCTCTCTCCTCCATTTTCATTCATTGGATAGCACTTTACTTTCTTCTAACTCACTTGTTAAGACTTTTATGAAAGGCCTAGCTCATCTCTATCCTCTATTCTGTCACATCTGTCCTGGACCCTTTTCCCTATTCTCATTATATTAATGTCAAAAATCTTTGAGCCCATGGTTACTGTTGGGACCCCAATGGGAGCAATGCACTCTGCTTGGTCCTATGAAATCTCCTGGCAGCATTCAATACCATCAGTCATGGTATTGCTCTGAACTAGATGGAAGGGTTAGGAGTTTGAGGCATCATTTTATGGAGGTTTCCTGCCTACCTAAGCAGGCAGTTCCAGCTGGTAGTCAAGGAGGGAACACTCGAGCTCTTAATAAATCCAATGCTCTCCCTCATGTCATTTAATATTTATATGAAAGTGCTGGGAGAAGTTTGGTGCAAGACCTAACCAATATGTGGATGACATCCAGTTAAACAGTGCCACTCTAGACTGAATTGGTGATGCCATGGAACTGTGGAACTGGTGCCTAGAGGCTGTGCTGACTGGATAGAGTGAAACAAACCCAGATTAAACCCTAACAAGATGGGGATGCCGTCTATCAATAAACATCTGAGGAATCTGGAAGTATCAGTCCTGGGTTTGCATTCCCCATTTATGACTTGTTGATCCTTCTTAGACTCATAGTTCCTACTTAAACAGCTGGTGGAAACTGTGCCCAACCAGGTCTCTGCCTAGCTCTGGCTGATCTGCCAGTTAGGATCTTATCTGTCAGAATGCCCTGGCAATGGTATCTCACAACCTGATTACCATTCTGCTTGGCAAATGCAGCACGCTCTAATGTGGGCTGCCTTTTGGAGACAATCCAGAAGCCACAGTAGATACAGAATGCAGCAGCCAGACTATGAGTGGGACCATCCCATCAGTGCAGGATAATATAAATGTTAACATTGCTGCACTAACAGGGCCAAATTCAAAGTACTGGTTATCATCTATAAAGCCCTGTACAATATAGCACCAAGATACATCAAGCGCCACCTTGTCAGAATTCACTCTACCCATCCAATCCAAACATCTAGAAAAGTGGTGTTAAGGATCCTTCCACCTTGTATGGTACATGAGGTATGGGTAAGATGACAGGACTTCTCCATGGCTACCCTCATACTTCTCCCTTGAAGATATGCTTGGCTCCTCCCTTCCTTGTGTTTCACAAGGTGCTTAAGACTATTTTATTCCAATTTGCCTTTAGTTCCGATTGATTTTGTATGACCTTTATAGTAAGACCTATTCTTTCATATTTTTAATGGCTTTTCTTACATTTTTATTGATCTTTGATGTAAGCTGTCCAGGATTAATGGAATGGGCTGGTCAACAAATATTATTAATAATAATATCAATCAATATTAATATTTATAATTGGGGAGGGGGTGCCACATGTTGTCTTAAGATTACAGATTGTACATTCCACTTTACCTTTCACATGTGTAGCATTCACAAAATTCATTATTTTCTCCAAAAAAGCCATCTCCATAATAGCAAGAAATTTCTTCCCCAGGTTCAATATCTCGCAGAGCTTTCACGCATGCTGTATCCCGGCCAGTTGACACAAACTATAGAGGATAAATAATTAAAATCTATTTTAACTTTAAAAAGTTTTTAAAAATATAATTGTATTTTAAAAAGCTAATTCTGATTGTGTAAAACATTGCATACCTACCTTACAGTTGGGTCTGCAATCTGAAAAAGGTCCAAAAGATAAAATCAATTAACTGTTGATAAGACCTGAAACATGAATAATTACAGACACCTAAAGTAAGGTTTCATACTGGTTTTATCATCTATTACAAAACTTAACTGAAACAGGCACAATACTAAAACTAGAAACATTTAGTAAATAATACTAACTCCTTTTCAAAGAGGATTAATGTTGTTTTAGATAATTCTAATTAAATTAGGATGTAAATAAATATACATTAAAAAGGATTGCAAATGCAACTAATTTTTTTTAAAAAATGTGTGCTTACCATGATTTATGAAAGCAGCTGGACCAAGCCACAGCTGAGCACAGTTTTTCCGTGTTGAATACATGACGCTAAAGTCATTTTCTCCATGTCTGAGCAGCATATTCTCTTCTAGTTCCGAGAGTTCAGCAATACAGCCAACTAATAACTCTATCTTGTCATTTCGTTTCCTAATAAACAAAGAAATAAATTATTTCCAGAATGACCAATGGCTTTTCAGTATAACTTTTTTTCCTATGATACAAATACTTTAGTAAGGGAAAGTATGGATGAATTTTGCCTCTTTGGAATTCCAGCCCCCCCCAGATAATTTTTCATGACATGACCTTTTTCCTTCTTGGCCTTCTTAATGAAAAGTTTAAAAAGTCCAATTAACTCATAATTGCTAGTAGTGATTACTTCTAGAAGTTGCTAAATTCAAACAGTAAATTCAATTTGCAAGAGGTTACAAGTGGTTCCTCACAGATTTTATTTGTTTAATTCAATTTTGGCACTGCCTGACTTTAAAACAACTTTGGGCAGCTTTATTTTAAACCATTAAAATTTTAAAAATGTAATGTTTAAAAATATTGTATGCGTTTAATTATCACAATTTTATTCCTCCAGTTGTAGTTGAAGCTTTGCTATTTAATTTTATCCAATTTGGTGAAAAGTGGATGATACAGACCGTGACTGAAATAAATATTCTGTATGTGTGTGAAACAGTGGGCAAGATTAATTAGGGTCCTCAAATGAAATTTCAGCAAGATATATTCCCCAGTTCTATTTTTCGTTTTCATCCAATCCAGTGAGGCAGTGGATATCCTGAAGAGACTGGACCAGATGGGCTCAATGCATAATGGTACAATGAACAAACAACCATGCAGATGTGCTAAACCAAATTTGGAAGGGACTGCACTGCCTCTTAAAAATCAGACAATCAGAGTGACAGAATTTCTAGATGCAGTCTTCCTTATGGAAATGTAAACAATTTCCACAGTACAAAGGGCCTTTTATAAACAGCTCGTACACTAACTGCATTACTTTTTATTCAGGTTTCTATGCTTTGCAGCATATTATTACAACATGCTAAACATACTGTACTAATCAAACATTCATGCTTGATTACTACAATATGTCATATGAGGAGCTCCCCTTGGAAAATAGAAAATTCAGCAAGATTAAAACATGGAAATGTTACTGATTCCATTTGTTCAAAGACACAATTCTTGGAAGACCATGACTATTTAGGAATTTAAATGTACTGAAAGGACAGCAGTCTTCCCCATGAAGGTGCTTGTGAATTAGAACTAGATTAGTAAACTTTATTTTGTACTGCTGTCTTAATATTTTTTATATTCCAAAAATAATGTAGCTCAAAACGGCTTAGAAAAAATGCAATAAATAAAAAGAACAACCCATTTTGAATAGCTCAGAGAAAGGCAGACTTGATGTACCTCCTATGAAGGCTGTTCCATAATCTGCATACCAGAGCCCAGAAGGCTTCATTTCTTATGTGAACGAAGAAATGTGAGAACAAAGAAGTCAAAGAGAATGGTCTTATTTGTGTAACAAAATTTTCAGTTAAGATGAGCCCTAAAGACCAAAACCTTAACTTGGTAACTGATGATGAACGAACTGACTGATAAAATGTACTGATTTTTTCACGTCAAACTCTTGATGGGACTGTTTACAAGACAATTCCATATGCAGTGCATTATCTTCTCCAGTTGGGCACTACATTATTTCTTATACTGCGCTTTAGTTTCTGGATTTAGAACTGAACTAGTTTTCTTAGTTCTTCACAAGATTTCACCAGATGTTGCTTACAATAGTAACATTTAGACCATTATAAGCAACACAGAGACCATAAGGGAGAGAGGGAACTTATGACATCACATAAACAATGCTGAACAATTTCCTGGTACAGTAAAACCTTTTTTTTTTTTTAGATTGTTTATTGCCTTTATTATTTTTACAAAGAACTCAAACATACCTAATATTCCTTCCTCCGCCTAAATTTAATTTACTGGGGGAGATGATGTCCATTATTCAGGAATGACTGAATTGTGGGAATTAACATAATTAGCATGAATGATTCAAATGATTCAAATTGACACGAATGACATAAATGGCAGCACTGGTCCACTGCATGCAAAGTCCATTGCCCAAGGCTGTAATTTAAGGTTTCAATGTATCTTCCAGGATCTGCTGGAAGAACAGGAACTATTGCAACACTGCTTCCCAGCACTGTCCAGGCTACATAATGTAAAATGATACATAGCTGCTGGTATCAAAAGCTGCTGAAAGATACAAGTAGACCTCGCTTAACAACTGCCCTGTTTAGCAACGGTCCAAAGTTACAATGGCGCTGAAAAAGTAACTTTACAACCAGCCCTTGCATTTACAACCATCACAGCGTCCCCATGGTCACATAATTGTGATTCAGGCACTTCACAACAGCAGGCATTTATGACTGTCACAGCATCCCACAGTCATATGATCATCATTTGCGTGCTTCACAGCTGGCTTCTGACAAGCAAAGTTAATGGAGAAGCTGCCAATAAAATTGCAAGTCACAGTCACATGATGTCTCAATAACCAGTGGTGACTTGCTTAATGACTAAATTGGAAGAGTTGTTGTAAATCTGTCACAGTACTTGATGTTTCATTTAATGACCACATTGCTTAGCAATGGAGTTGCTGGTCCCAACTGTCACTAAGTCCTATACTGGAGAATCAAAAGGGTCATACTCCACCAGCTTCCCCACCACTGCAGGTAGGGGAAATCTGATTAATGGCAATACTGTTTGTTTTATAAAAACTTAAAAACTATC